CTTTGATGAGTTTTATTGCCCAACCACGGTTGGGACCACATTCCTTATTGATATTTTGAAGTATAAACACTAGTGCGGTGGAAAGACAATATAAAGACACTTGGCTAACATAGTAGTAATCGATTCCGAAATACGTAGGTCTGTGTCCAATACCTCGAGGACGAATTCTTTTGAAGGGGAGATGATTAATGCATCCCTAAATCTAGAAGAAGGATTATTGAAAGTTCCAAAGAAACATAGAACAAAGTTAAATTATTATCCTAAGAAATTTTTAGAAAATATTTTTAGAAATATACAAGAATAAATTATTATTTAAGGAAGTATTTAGGAATAATCTCTATAAATTTTTTGATAACTTCTCTCTAGAAATATCTTCTAAATCAATGGATACGACTTGCCCCAGGGAATCAATAGCCAAGATTTGGAAACATTTGGGCTACCAAAATTAGCCTACAAATTTCTTCAAAAGAGGTATATTCCCGCAACTAAGAATTAACAGTTGTCTTGAGCTTTCTTTGAGAGTGTGTGATACCTCTCCAAGTGGTAGTTGATCCTCACGTGAGGTTTAATGATTCTCTTTTTGTTTCTACCCTTGTTATAAAACACAATTGTATTCTGCTTTATATTGAAATAAGTGTGCCCTATTTCTTGATCACCTTACCTTCGGAATACATCATGCATCAATCATCTTCGAGAGCCGGTGCATCTACTTGTCCTCTTTGTATCATCTGAAGACAGCCATTTCAAATGTGTTTAGATTTTTATTATGATCTAAAACACATCCAAACAACCCTGTAGCACATTTACTTCTGCTCCATTAAGGGCTATTTTTTTCCCCCTTGTTCTCTGTGCCAGATGATCAACAATGGTAGGCACGAATATCTAGTGATGTACAAGATCGGTCTCATCATACTGGTCAATAAAATTTGAAGATCTGTACACCAAGTTAGAAGTTATTGGATTTTTGAGCTTCCCCTATTCTCTGTCCTAAATTTGTTCAAATTGAGTCCTTGAGTTTAGACCCACATCGCCAAAGAAGAGAGAGGACACCCCCCGGCCCTCAACCAATACTTAATTTTCAAATTTTTAAGTCCGAAATTTCAAGAAAATTAAGTTCTTTGAAATTTTGGATGCGTTCTTGCTTCATTTATATTGTAGGTGCAGGAACTTGATTTGAATAGTATCACTACTTGTTACTATTTCAGGTACACGTGATTGAAGCTTTGATGGTTTACCTAGATTGAGACTGTTTATGGTATCCCAACATGAGATTTTTTTTACGGCTTATCTGTGACTGAAATTTTGAGGTTTTTATGTAAGATTGGAAATTTGATGAATTGATGGTTTTATGATTCATTTGCTTCGACGATAGTTTTACGAATCAATTGCTTTAATGATTTTAGCCGTGATTGAATTTTTGTTGTTTTTATTCACGGTCATCAAGACCACCGGCGGTCCACCCAATGCCTCGGCGAGCTTGTCCAACATAAAAACTGGTTTTAGTTGAAATTTGATCAAAATCAATGTTTAATTGGTTTGGGCCAGTCGGACCGACCAATTTTTACTGGTTTGACTAGTTAAATGAAGTTTGGCGATCTTTTAATACATTTTATATTTTAAATTATTAGGCATCATGTTTTCTTTCACTTTTCTAAGATCTGATCTCACTAATTCGATGAGTGGTTGGACCGGTTTTCACTAAGACCAAACCTCTCATCAGTTCAGTGGTTGGTCCGATCCTAATAATATTTGGGCTTATCGAGTTTTTGATATCAAATCTATATAAAATAGATCCTAAATATTTTTCTACATAATCCTCTCGATCTCAGATGAGTTTTGATTTGTGAACTTTTGAGATATATATATTGGAAATGATTTTATGCAATGGTTATATAGTAATATAAGGAAACATTCTTCAAAAACCATGATGGGGCCTTTTGTTTGATCCAAATTTTTAAATATGCACTCTTTTCATTCTAATGAATAATAATAAGGGTGTGATTTCTATAAGGTTCCAACCTTAAACAATCCAATCAAGGCTCACCTTCAAATTTTATCATAATATGTAATGTTGGTGTAAAAAAGCATTAGATTATCTTAACATCTATTTTCATATTTAATTATCAAATTTTAAACTCCAAAAATAGTTAAAATCAAGTAGATATATAAATATATGAAAATATTAAAAATAGACGATCTAGATAATGTGTTGCAAGATGCACTATTTTTTGTACTCAAAATCTTGTTTTTTTTCTTCTTCATAGTCATACATCTCGATGTCGAGATGATCAATTAGAGGGTTTTTCAATATTTAAACAACATTTTCTGATGGAGTTTTTAGGTGCATATGTAATTCTACATTTTAAGATTGCAACCTTATATAAATTTTTTCCTAATAATTATAAACAAAAAGTAAAATTTTAAAACAGCGTAGAAAGTGTTTTTTTTAATCCAACTAATATTGACCATCTATTTTAGTGAGATGCTTAAATATTTAGATTGATATTTCCTTCCCAAATTTTTAAAGAGCTTTATTAACATTAGATTAATAATATTAAAAAAAAAAATAATAAATTTTGAATTCATAAAAGCCTAGATCTTAAAAATTCACTAAATGGATGGTCCAGAATTATTGTTGAAGGTGACTCATTTTAATCATATCTAGGGTATAAAATGAATTTTATTTTTTTGGAGATTAATTATTGGGATGAAGAGAATGTGTATACAAAATTTGATGTCATATAAATGCCACTGACATGGTTTTCTAGAATGTTTGGTTTCAATATATATTATACTGACATGGTGACATAAGATCATTCCCCTAAATATATATGAAAAAGAAAAGTTATATAAGTATCCCTTACTTTTTTGAAATTTTAAAAAACGCTCCCCACCATTTTATATTTTAGGTTCATATCCATTTTTTTAAAATACAAATTATATACAATTTTATCTTTTTTCCATAGTTTATTTATGCCAAAAGATTTTCTACTATGTCTATTTACTCCCTCAGGTATAATACATACAACGAATACCTTTTACATTTCAAATTTTTAGGATGTAATATCTAAAACCTATATATAATCTCAATAAAAAAATTTCAAAATAAACTCTCTACGTGTTTCAAGATTGAATAGAGACCGTCCAATTTTTAAAAAACTAGACCTGCTGTCGCATCACTCAAAATTCAATTTTTTTTTTATTTTGAAAATAATCATCTAGCAGTTCTTATGTGGTTGACAAAATTTTACACTAAAATAATGTGTTTTGTGAAAGGGCGTAGCACATGGAATATTCCCATTGGAGCAAATCATATGTGCATAAATAAAAGTTAGAATACTATGCTCCCATAGGAGCATTGTACTGTGCACCTATTCCTTGGAGTAGATAACCATCTTGGAAGGATTTTTTTGATCTTAAATTTTTGGAACTGCCTAAAAATTATTAAATAATTATTTTCAAAAGAGAATTTGAATTTTAAGTTTTGTGACACTAAGATCTCATCACGATCTCGGGTCTCCACACATCAATTTTTTAGTTCATAGAGAGTGTGATTTGGACTTCTTTTAGTTGAGGTTAGTATAAGGATTGGTGAGGTTATAATTTAGGGTCTCACAATTCCTCCCAGGTCAGTTTTTACCCAATAGAGTAAATGAACAACACGCTTTTATGGTAGCATGAAATCTTTTGGCTTATTGGAAATGCATGGTTCTTTTAAGAGTTTGTTAGTTTTGAAGTTTGGCTTTGTACTTGGGTTTTGTCTTCTCGTTCCAGAAAATATTTAAATGAAAACAAGAAAATAGATGGTATACAAAGAGATTATTTACCTTTGTTATAACGAGGCAACAATTATTCTTATTTATTAAATGTCAAATTGGATGGTTTGGGATATGTCATGAAGTAGGAGAAATTTTTTTAGAACTATGAATCTATTCAATGACACTTTTACAACCACCCATTTTGAAATCTAAGAGAGAAGACTGATTGTAACTTTCTTGTACAAAAAGTAAATGATCTCTTTCTATACGGAAAATATGTATCTATAAACATAACAAAGCATATTTAAAACAAACTTAATTGTTCTCCTAGCAATATAACGGATATCGTACGGCATTAAAAATAAATAAAAAAAATATAATGAATGTCCTATGGAATTATCGACAAGAGGTATAATTGAAAGGAAAATAACCTTGTGAGACCCTCCCAAACCCATGTGTGTAGGATCCCATAAGATCATCATTAAATTTAGTATAGATCTTTAGAAAAGTCAAATCCCACACCCATGTGATAACCTTTTTAGAAATCTATGCCAAATTTAATGGTGATCATTTAGGGTCCTAAACACATGAGTGTGGGAGGGTCTCATAAGATCATTACTCTAACTGAAATGCCAAAATCTTGCAGATTGCTTCTTTTAGTTTTTTGTGTGATCCTTTCGAAATAGGGTGTGGTTTGTATAATGCCCAGGCTCTAAACAATCAAATTCGAGCCTAACTTCAGCTACTGTCAAGAAATGTGGTTTAAATATTGGAATTCTTTGTGATAGCCTTAAAAGATATTTTCATCTTTATTTTAAAAGTTTAAAGATTCAAAAATAGTGTAGATTGACAGATCTATGAAAACTTGAAAATTGAAAATTGATGGTAAAAAATGTGTTGCAAAATACATAACTTCCAAAACTTAAAATCCAGTTTTTTTCTCATGTCCATACATCTTGATGTTGAGATTATCAATTTGAAGATATTTGAGCATCGAAACAACCTCTTCTAATGAAAATTTTGAGGTAGGCTCTAATTTGATTGTTTCGAGCCTCGACTCTATATAAACTTTTCCCTTTGAAATAACCTCCATTAAATTTCTCCTTCCAATAATTTTTGCAAGTTATTGCACACAATCTGAATATTTGAAACATGGATTCACAAGCAAGGTTATTTCTGATAAATGTAAATCCAAACTCCAATTGAAATAACCAATAAATACTATTTTATAAAACAAACCAATCCACTGAATGCAACCTGTTATTGATTAAAAAAAGAAACAGTAAAACAACTACTGAACACATCCACCTACTTATTCCAAAAAGCAGAGAAAATAAAATAAAAGAAAAACAGAAAATAAAAGGGGAAGCACCCACTAATCACAGCCAGTCATACATAAAAGAAAGCAAGAAAAAAGATAAAAATACACAGAAATTACAGCCAGTTATACGTAAAAGAAAGCAAGAAAAAAGATAAAAATACACAGAAATTACAGCTAGTTATTCAAGAAAATCACACCCCATAAAGTGATTTTTAAAATCCACTCATACAAAACAACCAAGGATTAAGGAGCAGGTTTTTTAGCTGGAGGAGGACCAGGAATCCTAGGCAATGGAGGCAATGGTGGCAATGGTGGCAATGTAGGCAATGGTGGAATTCCAGGAATCAGAGGAGGAAAAGAAAATAGTGGAGGAGGAGGTGGTGGAGTAAAGAAGGGAATTGGTGGGAAACTGAAAGCAGGTGGAGATGGTAAAAATGGAATTGATGGTGGAGATGGTAAAAGTGGAATTGATGGTGGTGATGGCAATAGTGGTATTGAAGGTGGAGATGGCAATAGTGGTATTGAAGGTGGAGATGGCAATAGTGGTATTGAAGGTGGAGATGGCAATAGTGGTATTGATGGTGGAGATGGTAAAAATGGTGGATAAAGGAAGAAGAAACTTGGGTTTACTGGTTTCTCTGTCTTTTCAGTTGATTGTGGATCTGAATTTGGTGGTTTTGGAATTGGGGCTAAATTTGGCAGAGATTGATCCTTTGGGATTGGGGCTGATGGGTCAGGTAAAGTTGGGGTTTTTGTAATTGGGTCCAAATTTGGCAGAGGTGGAGCTAAATTTGGGAGAGGTGGAGTTAAATTTGGCAGAGATGGTTGCCTTGGAAGAGGGGGGCCTAAATTTGGCATTGGTGGGAGGCTTGGCAACGCAGGTAAAGGTGGAAGTTGGGGTAAAGCTGGCAGAGGTGGAAGGTTTATCCATGGAGAAATGTAAGTCTTTTTGGGGCCAAATTGAGGGTCAATTTTAGTGTTAGGATTTGGTTTTTGGTTACAAAGGTCTGGTTGTTTTAATGGTTTGAAAGTGAAGAAACCAGCTGAGTAAATGTGAAGCCCTGCTCTCTTAGACTTCAAGTGTAGAGAGGAGGATTCAGCCATGGAAGCCACACCACAGTAGGGTTCACTGCTTGAAACAAGTTTAACTGAGCATCTTTTGATTCTTTTGATATGATGGGAAACTGAAAATGGGAGCTTGACCTCGAATTGGCCATGTTGATTTGTTTTCACTTCTTTTGTGAAGGTCTTCTTCACTGTTCTGTCTCTGCATTCTACTGCAACAAGGGCTCCTGAAGAAATGGAGAGAGAAAGGGAAGGAAACAAGTGGTGAGAAAGAGAGCTAGTTTATCAGAGAAATTATGATTTTTCTTTCTTTTGTGAGAGAGAAAGAGAGAGTATGATGTTTAAGTGAGAAAGTAGGCTACGTGAATTATGTTGTTTTATTAATGAAGAGAAAAGTTAGTTGATTAGAGAACTAGATGTTTTAGTGTTTAAAGATTTTCTCATGTGTGTGTGTGTGTGTGTGTGTGTGAGAGAGAGAGAGAGAGAGAGAGAGAGAGAGAGAGAGAGAGAGAGAGAGAGACGTAGTAG